AGCCGCCCGCTGCCACCCGAACCAAGCGGGCGGTGGTGCGTGCGGAGGGGGTGGTGGTATCTTTTGCTTTCTCTGTTCAAAGCGCGCAGATTTAAATGAGCCGTGGTGTTGTTGACGTCCCTCATGTGGTGTCTCGTGCTGACGTGTGTGTCTGTGTAATAGATACCTACGCAAGAGGAAAGCAGATGGATCTCCTGCCGGATTCAGCACCCCTGGCGACGAAACTGCGGAACACTCTGATTCAGTACCACGGCATCCCAGACAGCGAATGGCGGGTGGCGAAGAAAACTGTGAGTGGTCGGGGTTGCTTCATGCGTGGGGCCCGATTTGTCTCGCAGTGAAGCTGTAGGTCACTTGGTGGGGGGAAGGAGCTTATTATGCCGTATAACGCGGGTGTGAAACGTTTGGCAAATTTCGACAGGACTTTCATACGAGAGGCCCTGTGAAACCACCCTTCTGGGATGACAGAATGTATTTTTCTTGTCTACAGACATATTCTGCATTCCTTCTAACCATTTTCAGGGAAATATCTCACAGAAGAATTCTACCAGGGTAGAATTACAGGCTTTTCTTAAAGCAAAATGTGAAATACTGTTAGCGCTTGCAGTGTTGCAAGGTGTTCACTTGTACTTTCAGCAAACCACCCACAGCCTTGAAGGTAGGCTGTGCCAGCCTCTGGAATCTCTTTTGTCTATAATGCTTGAACCTGTCATTCTTCAGCTTCCAAATGTCCTCCTCTTGAAAAGTATGATCATTCTCAATTCTTTCTGTCATATTGCTTGATGTTTCCATGGCCTTCAGGGCCTCTACATTAGCATAAGTTTCCTTCCATGAAAGGGAATGCAGTTCCTGCTTTCTCCAAGCAGTTGCCATGCCCTTCTGTTGAGCTGCTTGGCTTTTCTGAGTCCTGCTTCATCAAGCTAAATAGACTTCGGTGGTGCATCAGTTCTAGGCTGGGTGAATACTTTTTAGTCCTGGCCTGCATAGAAGGTAGAAATGCATTTTGGTATCTCAGTGTAGCAACGTGGTAGGACTAGTGTAGTAGTTTTCTGTCTTTGCCCTTTTGTTACAATGGTTTGGGTGGGTCTTGTATTTTTCTTTTCCTTTGTGAGCAGACATTGATAAGAGAGGGCCAAGTGTTCCGAATGTAACTTGATTATTTGCAGAATTAACAAATTCGCTGTCTTGAAAGAGAGGAACAGAGTATTCAAGCCTTTCAGTCTCACAAAACACCTGTACCACCTCTGCTCTGCTAGATGCTTATACCATCATTTTCCTTTAGGAAGTTACCTGAATCTCACTGTTTCAGATCACGTTACTGCCCAGATTTTACCCCTGTAAAGTCCAGTTGGACTCCCTTCCTCCCTTCCTCCCTTCCTCCCTTCCTCCCTTCCTCCCTTCCTCCCTTCCTCCCTTCCTCCCTTCCTCCCTTCCTCCCTTCCTCCCTTCCTCCCTTCCTCCCTTCCTCCCTTCCTCCCTTCCTCCCTTCCTCCCTTCCTCCCTTCCTCCCTTCCTCCCTTCCTCCCCCTTCCTTCCCCCCCTCCCTTCCTCCCTTCCTTCCTCCCTTCCTTCCTCCCCTCCCTTCCTCCCTTCCTTCCTCCCCTCCCTTCCTCCTTCCCCTCCCTCCCTCCTTCTTTGGTACTGTGCCATGTAAAAGACATTCAGAGCTTTAGTTGCCAAGGGGATGAATTTTGCCCCTAAATATCTTCAGAAGAAACAGTTCTGGATGCAGTACTTATGCTACCATTCCTTAGGACATTTGGTCCTTTGTCCTTGTGTGATCATGATTCCAAATAAAAAGGTGCCATATGGTACTCCTTTTGATATTGAAATTCAAAGATTTTGTATAGAGGTTCTATTTCATAGGTAGATAAAAATCAGAAGATACTGGTTTTTTGTTTTCTCTGGCTACCTTTAAAATTAATAGACTACTCCTTGCACAACACTTCTAGTCAGGCATCTAGGAGAGAAAGGTAACTTAAGCTTTCTTGTCTGCCACTGTCAGCACCCCCTTCACACATCTGATTGTTCATGTATTACAGGAGTGCAAGCAGAAGTTGTGTGGTCTTCCTGTCTGAATAGTGTCCAGATCATATCTTTCCAGCTGCCTTTTAATGGAAAGGCTTTACCTAGTAATGTGGTTCCATTATTCTATATGTTTTCATAGCAAACTGGCTTGGCCTGCCAAGCCCTATTTCTGTGCAGACTTCTAGCATTTCACAGTGAGAAGGCAATTGACTGATTTTTAAGAAAGAATGGAAGATTGAAGTAAAAGAAGTCTGATACAGCTGCTTCTCTTCTTAAGAAAAGTGTACAAAAGTGCCCAGGTTACTGAGCAGTTTGGGGTGAACCATAGTTAATGGTAAAGTCATTTGCTTTTCTTCAGAAAAAAATTCTGAACAGCTTGTAGTTGTATGAAAGTGACAACTAACATCGTATCTTCCTTTTTCTTTCAGAAAGATGCAACTGTGTGGCGTAAACCATCAGAGGAATTCAGTGGATACCTGTAAGTTTGCCTGCAGAACAGATACATTTTTAAGGTTCCACAGATGTGTTTTGTAGAATTTAGAAATTAAGGTTGTGGATTCTACAGCCCTCAGCCACACAGATTCTCCAGAGGAGAAGCTAAGTGGATCATCTAGTGGGCCTGCACCATTTCTTTTTAGTGTTACACTTCAATGCTTTAGCATTGCATGGTGTCTAGAACAACAAATAATGAAAACTGTAGAACACACCACAAAACTTCCATGGCTGAGGTGAGCAATAACATTTTAGAAACAGGCCTTTTAGAAAGATGGTCTGCAATCCACAGAATCAAGGCAGGGTCAGCAGGTCGGGAGGGGGATTGGGTGACAACCCAGTCAGTGCTTGGACTGTTATAGTGACTGTGCAACTGCACTAGAGTAAAATACCGAGCATGTAGTTCTAGGAAAGATGTGTGACATAAAAGCCCTTCCTGTGAGTTTCTGTCACTGGGTTCTGGTGGTGTCTGTAGGTTTAGGTAGAGAAATAGTTACTAGAAAACAGCACTCTGAAGAAATGAAAAGTCATGTGAAAACGTAGTGTTCTCAAAGACTGATGTGCTCTGTGGAAAAGTCGTGTTAAATCTGTAAGAGCTGATGACCCCAGACACGAAGAGTCTGCTGACCCTGTGCAGGGCCACAGGCCCACTGGCATCAGCAGGCTGTGTAACTTGAACTGCTGCCAAGAGGGCAGTGGGTGCTATGTGCAGATGAAGACTCCAGGGTTGTGTATACCCCTGGTGAAAAAAGGGCACTTTGAAGAACTTTCCAAACACCTACGTAGAAGCCACTGGCGTGTTCACATGGTCCTCCAGTTCTGAGTATACAGCTGAGATGGGCTCCAGCTAGGTAATTATGAACAAATATGGGTGAATTGCAAAAGTGAATAGATGAATGTTGCTTGACTAGTTACCTACTATTAATAAGATCAGATTAATGAATAAGAAGTATTTTGAAAATAATGGTACTGGTGGACTTTTCCCCTTCAGAAACTGGAGACCAAGTAACTCAAGTAAACAAAGTCTCTGGTGTCTATTAAAAATACTGATAACAAATGTTCTGTAATGTTTTATATCAAATTATTTTATTTGGTATTCTTATATGCCACCAAACCATAACGTAGTTTCTCGTTAGCTTGGTTCTACTCCTGTTACTTCTACTTTATGAAGAATGTTTTTCCCATTGTATTCCTGCTCTCCATTGCTTTTGCTTTTAAATTTACTTGTCCTTGTTGGACTCCCTTGCTCGCCCAGCAAGAAGAGCAAAATAACAAGTCGTTACAGAAATAAACATGATGATTTTTGTCTGAGGAAGGAGTTTTCCATTTACAAAATACAGATTGCCTCATAAGGACAAAGTTTCTCAGAATAACATTGCAGAGAAGAACAGATGCACCCATAGGTCTTGGTCTGTACTGTTTTTCTGATACAATTGTCCACTGACTGTAACTAGTATTATAGTAAGTGTGCTGTTGCAAATTAATGGAATATCTATAAAGAATTTCTCACTTTTAAATGTAAACATATGTTTTTCCAGCTACAAAGCTCAAGGAGTGGTGGAGGATGTTACTAACAGAATAGTGGATCATATTCGCCCTGGACCTTATAGGCTAGACTGGGACAGCTTAATGACTACAATGGACATCATGGAAACGTTTGAAGAGGTGAAGACTTGTTTAGGTTCTTAAGGGAAATCTGAATAGATGGATACATGTAAATAACAGTACAGCAAAGCACTCACTCCAGCAAATACTAACACTTTTGTGCCCATTTTCTGCTATGCATACATGCAGTGGGTGACCTCAGATGAGGCTTTCTGGCTTCACAGTCCTATTCTGAAGCCTGAAGTTCAGCTTTCCATCAATGCTAAAATTAAAGGAGTAAAACTTGGTTGGTCACAGTTCTCTCAGACGTGGGAGGTCTGGTAGCCTCTGATAAAATTCACATACAGAGAGTTACAGTGTGACATTCTGTCTGCCAAAGCCTTTTTATACAGCTTGCTTCTTCCATTCCACAACAAACAAAATTGTGCGTATTAATAACCCACACATACAGAAGCTGCAACCTCTCTGTTTTCTTGAAAGGCTGACTTCACTGTGTGGTAGGTCTTTGTGCTGCCTACCGCAGGTGCGGGGAGCCAAAATGGTTCATACTGAGGGGCAGGACTTGCTAAAGAAAGTTAGGTTTGAAGTGGGTTACAGAAGAGCTGGTAGCCTTCCTTTGATTACTGGGCACATTCAGTATGACTTCAAAACCCAGTGGACACCTGGCTTGAACATGGATTGGTTTTTGATCTGGCTCTTGAGGAAGATTTATATGGCAAGGTATTTTTGGTAATTATTCCCTAGAATTTATACAAACTCTATTGTCTTATAAGGAAGACTTTTTTGAAGAATTGTTTGCATTCTGTTTTATTAACTTGGTGGATTAAAAGTACTTGTCAGAGCATCTTAGTACTGAGAGAGGCCTCTTGCAATTTATTCATCGTCCTTTCGGACTTCCTAAATAATGCTTAAGCCACGTAAAAGCCACATAGCTTTCAGTTCCCAGGTGTGACACAGTTCCCTAGTTTTAGTTAGTTAAAGTTTAAAGGTGTCAGATATTCTCTGCCCCTGCAGCTCTCAATTGCAGACTGCAAGTCCTTACAGGCTTCCAGCATTTAGACTGAAAATGATACAGCCATTCGGACCTCACTGAAGTTGTTTGCACAACTTAGTTGACAAAGGCTGCAACCTTTGTGGAAAAGGCTAGCTGCCTAGAAGCTATAAATTTCCCCGTGTTCATTATACTAAGATAATTTTGTTTTCTTACCCTCCTTATTCTGTCACTCATCAAGAACTGCTGTGTGATGCGCTACACCACTGCTGGTCAGCTCTGGAACATCATAGCGCCAAGGGAGTTTGTTGATTTCTCTTACACTACAAGCTATGAAGATGGGCTTCTAACATGTGGTAGGGCACCGCTTACTTCTGCTTAAGTCTTATCTTGCAACAGCTGCTTGGCTTAAGATTTGATTCAAATTAAGTTTAATTCTGCAGTAAGCATTCAAAAATGGTTTAAGATGGTCTCCAACAAGGATTTAAAAGGGTTTTTAACGTTTTACAGATTTAAAGAAGTGTACGAGTTAGTGGTTTACCCATGACCCATCCCTGTGTGCCAAGTTCCACTTGTGTCATCTGTGAAACAGAAGTGGTAGAGGCAAGTTGAGCGCTCTGACTCAGCTCTTACAGGAAACTGGGTAGAGTAACAACTTGCTCAGCTTGTTAGTAAATGGGAGGAATGTCTTTTTAATGTCAGGATTTCTGTTTATCAAGCTCTGCTTGTCTGTGTGGATTTTGAATGAAGAGTAGACAACTTTCTTGCATGAAAGTACCCAGAAACTTGAAGTGTGTCTGTCACTTCTAAATTCCCCAAGCAGAAATGTGTACATTTTAAATTTACTGTACCTTTACTTTTTTTTTAATCTGTCTCAAATTAATTTCCTTTTTTTTTTTTTTCATTTGTTTTCCTTGATAGGTATAAGCCTAGACTATGGAAAGGTGAGACCTAACTTTGTCCGTGGATTCAATCATCCTTGCGGTTGGTTCTGCGTCCCTCTTAAGGGCTATCCTAGCCACAGTCTTTTGACAGGCTATATTCAGACTGAACTGCGAGGGATGCTACCACAATCTGCAGTAGACACTGCCATGTCTAGTACCCTGGCCAATTTCTACTCTGACCTCAAAAAGGCACTGAAAATGTAGACAGTGATTTAAAAACGCGTGCGTTTCTTGCAATCAAATTATATTGTTTAGCTTTGCATAGGTTAGCTACTGAGGTAAGAGGTGAGTAACATCATTCCTGAATGATACCTGAACCTTTATGTTGAGGAATCCAAACAACTTTATAAAGTACTTTTGATGTGATGCTTAGCATACATTCCTAATTCACGGTGCAAGATTCTGTTTCCTGCTCAGCACTCTTCAGCTGTGTGAGGAGTAGTCTGAATCTATAAACCCCTGGTGTCTTAGAGAGAATCTAACAAAAGGGGGGTGTGTGGGCTCGAAATATGCAGCATGAACTCAGCTACTCACCGACAGTGTTGAGAGTGGAGTGCTCACGATTTTGCTGGTGCAGGTCACTGTACAGGCAGCATCTCATTGAAGATGTGTTTTGTAATATATATATTTTTATATTTACTTCAAATTTTTGATTTATTTCGTTTGTACAGGTGCATCTGTAGTTTGTTTAAAAAAAATGATTTATCATGGGGATATTGCATAGCTAAGTTGTTGAATGATAGTTTTCCTAAGAAAGGTATTCGCTCTTGTTAGCAAAAATAAGTATTCATTATTGGCATTTCTTCAGTGTTGTAACTGTAACTTAATTAACTGTTGTGTATAACAGTCTCAGTGCATAGATAAAGAAATGCCCTTACAGCTGATCCAAAGCTCATTTAAGTCATCGGGTGTTCTTTCCATAGTTTTTAGTGGTCTTTTAATCACACAGTTGTCAAAATAGCAAATCTCCAATGGATTTTCTGTGATATTAGCACTTCTTAATAGTTTTTTACTTAAATTTGCATGTAATTGTGTATGTGGGTTTGTTTTTTTTTTTTCTTCCTTAACTGGAAGTCCTGGGATTACTAAAGCAACAGAAAGGACTGCTAACTTGCTTCAGGTATAGGCATTGGTGTAGACCCAACAGCACAGACTGTCAGTGTGCTGGTACAGTGCCCTGCAGTGTTCTGTGGTAATACCCCTAGACTGATCTTTGCCATAAATGAAATTAGTATTTTAAAACATGAGCAACTGAAGGCCAAAGCTCAAGCTGAAAAGTTGCTCAGATCTGCTGGAGGGTGGAGTGTCAAATTTTTCAGGTTATTTATCCACCCAGTGATGCTGACAGGTACATGGCAGGGGCTTTCAAAAGATTACTCTCTGTGCTGCTGGGAACCTGAATTCTCTTTAAAACCTGACATTAAGGTTTTGTTATGCATCATTTGCTCAGGTGAGGTTGTAAATATCCCTATTCTTTACCAGTGCTAGTAGAGACAAGTTTAGCTGTGTAGTAGTTATGGCAAGTACCTTGGAGCCCTAATATTTTGGAGCCAGTTGTATGTATACAATCCACGGACTGGTAATGAACCCTCAGAAAACAAAAAAAAATTAAGATGAAAATTGTTCCCCTGCAATATTGGCTCTTTTGACACTGGCCACTGTAGTTGAACTTTGAACAGTGAGAACTTTTCTTTCTCATTGCTCAAGCAAAGAGGTAGAAAAAAACATGACACCAAATATAGGGAGGGGTCTTCTAATGTGCTTCATGTATTAAGGCATTTAGTACTGTTTTTATTAAAACAATGGCATCAAACAGCCTTTGGTGTCTTCGTAGGCAGAAAATGTCAACTCCCTGTTGGGTTTGTGTATCCTGCAGTTCCCTTTAAACTCCTTGGTTACTCTTCCCATCTTTTTTTCTACCTTCCTTGTTTCCCTGACAGTTCTGGAAGCTCACAAGGTGCTCTTTCACCACCAAGGACACTAAGTGGGACCGTGTCAGCAGACATGCTTTTTCCTAAATGCTAGGGTCCACTTCTTTCTAGTACTGGTACAGAAGCAAGTATGAAAGCCCTGGCAATACTGCTCTGTGGGGTGAATGCTGACATGATTATAGAGGAAGCTGTGTGAAGTGTACCCTATTTATTCTTCCTAGTTACAAAGACTACATGTATAGTGAATCTGCATATTCATATCTTCTTTTTTTAGAACTGCTGGGACTGACTAATTGAGGGGTTGTGATACAGATGTATATAGAGAAGAATATTCCATTGCTCTGTAAAAAGCACAGAGGCACTTCAGTACTGGAGAAATGGGTCAAAAGGAGCACAAGACACTTAGAGGATGATGTTTGTACAACACTAGTTGCTGCAGAAAAGATTGAGATCCCTGTTCCAAACACACATTATAAGAGCTCTAACATCTCTAGAATATCTGTCCTTACTTAGTGTTCAGTGAAATGGCTTTTTATGCTTTCAGTGAAGATAGGCTGATGAAGCACAGAGCAGCTGAAGAAGGAACTTGTGTTTAAATGGAAGACAATCGCTGGTATATTTTAAGTGTGATGATGTTTTTAATAAAATTTCTGCATGCAGGTTTCCTTTTATCAGCAGAGTTGTTTTCAGTAACAGGCCTAGAAATTGAAAGGTTTTGTGAATGCAAGTAGCTTCTGAAAGCAAAGTAGGCCTTCTACTTTGCATTATAGTAATTTATTCCTTAAACACTGATTAAACTGGCTTTGTGCATTTTACAGATGTAGTCTATTGCTTCTGTTAGTGATTCTGAACATTCAGACAAATAACAGTAGAGACTACCAAAGACAGAACAGAGGCCGATTATTTTTTTTTAATCAATAAAAGAGCATAGTACAATTCTCCAGTTTTCAGATGATGAGAAATCACAGAAGGTGCTAACAAATTTGAATGATTTATTCTGGGAAATATCACACTTCTAAAAATATTTCTGATTTAGGAGTGCAATGATTGATGATGTATGCTGATTATGATGCTGAAGGATTGCATAGCAGATACCTTACAGTCTTTACTCCAAGCAGTTCAGCTATACAGTAATACAGAACTAGAAGAAATATGTCCAGTTTCATAGTGTGTTGCATTTATTTGAAACCATAGCTAAGGACTGAGAGGATCTTGAAGCAGAGCTGTTCTTTAACCAGAGTACATTCGGAACCAAGAAAGCCACAAAATCAAGTACTTATTTGATCAGAACCTCTTTTCCCGCCATGGCATTGTTTTCCTCCTAAGTTAGTGGACAATCTAAGCGGAGCCAAGACAGTAAAAACAGAAAAGCAGCTGAAAGGGTGAAGTGCAGGAGCTGATGTTTTACTTATTAGGAGGTAGTGGCAGACAAAGTAATTACCTAGTATAGATTTCTGTAATCCTCACAGCAGCTGAATTTTTGCAGGTTTGTGAGGTTCTCCAGTACTTGAGTTTTTCAGTTAAACTGGTATATAGTTACCTGAAAGTGACTTCTGAATGGGGTGTCCAAGAATAGCAGAGAACAGGTTTTGCTAGGGAAGTGGCATGTATATAGACACATCAAAATTATTTTTATATGACTAGTACTTTTTAAAAAAACCTTACTTTTTCAAGGGTTTAGGCAATTGACAGTCTAATCTGTGGCACTTTAACTAGGTGCTGTGTATGTGGATGGGAATAGTGGCTAAAGGTAAGGCAATTTTCATGTTTGCCTTCTCTTCCTCATTTAAAACCTCCAGCATTAAACGTTGCCTGTAGTTGTGCTCCTTATTTTACATATGCAGAAGACAGAGACTGGGCTAAGTTCAATTTGGGGGCAGTCCAAGGCACTCTACCACAGCCCACTGGGTGGTAGACCAGAACTTCAAATAGAGACTTTGGGAACAGCACAAGCCCTGATCTCAAATTTTATGAATTTATAAATGTGAAACATGATGAATTTACAAAACATGAAAAGAGTGTATAATTCCTCCAGTTCCTCCAGTGATCATAAATAACTAGAAATGTTTTGATGGTGTGAGCTGGTGATTCAACCTAGGATGTTCACTGCTGTAAAAGTAGCCATAATTCTAGTGAAAGCAGCCAAGTTGTTCAGAAAGTCAAAGTCAGTCTGTCTTAACAGTGTTTTTAACTAACTGTGTTCAGCACTTAAGAGATTGTATTTATATTTTTAATGGAACTGCAGAATAAATTAAAACATGGATTCCAACAGACTCATGATGTAGCTTTTTCAATACTTGTGCAGGCAGATGTAGCATTCAGTTGCTTTTGGGGCAGTTATGTCTGATGATGTAGTTCATCTTCAGCTGCATGGTGATCTCTAATGCTGTCACTTCATCTCCTTAAATTTGAAAGCCAAAAGTCTTATTTTTACTTAGAAACTTGATTTTGGCCAAGGAAGGGGCACAACTCCAATTTATGCTAAATTGAAATCTCTTGAAAACTGTACAAATAGGATTTTGTCAAATCTTAAATTCTAAAAATAGATACAGTTTTTTGTAATGACCCCATGATTGCTGTGGAAGGACTTCATTATTTTGTCTTAGTATTACTTAACTTTTAGCATGTTTAAGAAATGGTTTATTAACCATAGAGATACAGCTCTTGTAGGGCATGTATCATGCTGCCCAATGCAAAGTTGGGTAGGAGTAGGTACAGAGGCCACTTGGGCTCTTCAGAAAATGACGAAGGACATTAGAGCTACTTAAAAAAACAGTGAGTTTTAAACCAATTTCCTGGTGAAAAAGCATATGAAGATGGGAGAGATTATAACAAATCTATGCTAAATATTAAATGTTCTCTAGGAAGTAATATATCCTGAAGTCCTAGAACATATTTTGTAATACATTCTGCCTTTCCCAGTCTTCACTGAGCTATGCTGGTGACTCAGTTTTACAGTACAGGTAGGGACTGATTATTGAGGGGTTAACATTTCTCGGGATTGTGCCACTAGCAGGGAGAAAACATGCACAGATGATAATAGCATGTGACAGGAGACAGATGTGCACATTTCACAGCTTGACCCACACAGTAAGAGATGTCACTTCTGGGTTCAGGTGGCCCAAATCCCAACACATTTAGCAGAACTGTCTCTTCCAAAGTCTCTTTGGAAGTCTCTTCTTTAAAATTTCTCTTTCAGTGAGTCAAGTCAGACTACCTAATGATCCTCAAAAACATTTCTGATACAGGCAACATAGACAGAGCTATTAGAAG